GTCGATAGGCTAGTGTTGCATTTCACGATGAGAGGTATTGTCGTAGCATTAGTTTTATCAAGTTCCTTGCTTGAGAGAGTTTAGGAGCATTTTCAGGAAATCCTGTCGGGCAGTACATTCGTATAAGCAGAGACCATTCGTAGCATAGAATATAGTTGCCATAGCAAATCCTCGTTAATTACCCCTAGATAAGCTTGATTGTGTGAGGTTGCCAAGTCTTATCTCATTTTCCAAAGTTTAATTTATGTTACTTCTTTAGCACACATTTGTTTTTACTTAAATTTTTAACACAATATTCCATCACCTTATACATATCATTTTTCCACAGTTTTTCTTTCTCACTTGTTTATAACATACTAACTTTACTTAGATAATTTAAAATAATGCATAAACTTTACTCAAAGTCCCTTCAATCCCTGTAGAGACGATACTCACTCACTACTATATTACTTGCATCGATTGTGTATACTTGCACAGAATTACATACCATATCACAATATATTTATACTCGATCACTACTCATAAAATTTGATTTGTAGGAAGGAGGGGTGCAGAAGTGGGAAGAAGATGGTTGAAATCTTTCATCAGCAAGTCAGCGGTTGGGGCAGCATGTCCTCCGACATTATGAGGGTCATCACATTGATGGCAGGCTTTTTTTTTTGTTACGTTCATCAGCGTTACTGCATGAAGGAGGTAATCCCGATGAGGGGAGGAGGATTCGGTGGACATAGACGGAAATATTCTTTATGCCTCATTAAATTTGTTTGTTTTAATATTTAAAATTATATCATTCAAAATATAGTATTAGAAAAGTAACAAACAACAATTCATATTTTATTTTTAGGTAAACTACATTGGCGTCACTAAAGTTTGAGTACATTTTTGTTTTTCCTACTAAACTTTCAAAAGTTACAAATTGGTCACTAACATTTTTAATTTGTAAAAAAATGATCATTTGATGTTAACAGTTGTTACTATGAGTGATGGAATACTGATACGGCACGTTAGCCGACTGATTTGGTAAATGTGCTGCCACGTGAGGTCATCCTTTGACTCCCCCTGGAGGACCAATGCCCTTTGAAACCCCCACCACCCAAAGAAATGGTTTATCCGGCTACCCTTTAAAAATCCCCCACAACCACCATCTCTATCTCTTCACTTTCAAGAACCCTCTTGCTTCTCCTCATACTCCTCTGCCATCTTCCTTCATTCTTAACTCTTTCGTCAAAGACCAATCTTTTTCCCTTTTCTCTTTCCTTTTTCCCTCCATTTCCTTTAAAAGAAATCTATATGTTTTGTCTAGTGAGGAAAACATACCAATAAGTCCAAGATGATTGGTCTCTAAATGGGGAAATGAATTGAACAGGAGCTACAGAAAACTGCATGGAATCTTAGTTGCAATTTTATTTCATGAACAAGCCAGATAAATTATTATTTCTTCTGCTAATAAGCACTTAGAATTTTTGCTTCTCAAATGGACTATAATGCAAGGAAATCACAAATTATGAAAGCTAACATTTTTTTATATTATTGGAATAAAACATTCAACTTTGGAAGTTCTGAAATGTTTTCAATTCAACAAAGGTGCATTAAAAAATGGTTTCCCCAGATTGATAGTGGGCAAAAAGAATTATAAAAGGTTACGACTTGAGATTGAAAGTAAAACCAGCTAACATTGATCATGATCAAACAAAAAGAGAATGGTGTGGCCGTATGAGATTGAGCTTTGAAGGGGTGTTTGGTTTCTAGGAAACGAGCAGGACAGTTAGCATTTCCACGAATAAAACATTGATTATAGAGGTTGTAAGCAAAAATGATGACCGAAATAAAGATGAGTTTGCTATATTGTCGGTCTGTTTTCCTCACTAAACAAAACGTATAGTTTTCTTTTAAAGGAAATGGAGGGAAAAGAAAGAAAGAGAAAATGGAAAAAGATTGGTCTTTGACAAAAGAGTCAAGAATGGAGGAAGGTGGCAGAGGTGCATGAGGAGAAGCGAGAGGGTTCTTGAAAATGGAGAGACAGTGGAGAGAAGAGCTAGAGATGGTGGTTGTGGGGGATTTTTGAAGGGTAGCCGGAGAAACCATTTCTTTGGGTGGTGGGGGACTTTAAATGGCATTGGTCCTCTAGGGGGAGTCAAAGGGTGACCTTGCATGGCAACACATTTGCCAAATCAGCCAGCTAACATGCCATATCAGCATTCCATCACTCACAGTAACGGTTGTTAATGTTAAGTGATTATTTTGTTACAAATCAATAACGTTAGTGACCAATTTATAAATTTTGAAAGTTCAGTAAGGAAAACGAAAAGTACTCAAACTTTAGTGACCACCCATTTAGTTTACCCTTTATTTTTTTATCCTTATATGTCCTCATCCTTTACATCTGTCAAAACAAATCTGTTAAATCTATTAATCAATTTTTATGAATAATTTTATCATTTTCTTTGGTTTGATATATCTCGTAAAATTATATGCTTGTCAATATAAGATATAAATTATAGGACGGAGGGAATATTTTTTAAAAGAGCGCAATAAAGAGAATAGTTTACCTTTTTTTAACGTTACATAAAATGATGAGTCTACAGCGAACGTCACACACCGATGTGCACCACTATAAATTTATAAATAACCATTAAACTATGATATAATGATATTTTTGGTCATTACATTTTTGAAAATTATAAAATGAGCATTAAACTTTGGACTTCGTTAAAAAAAAAAGCACTCACATTTATCTATCGTTAAAGGGTTAATGTGACACAATAAATTAATAAAAAAATCTCATTTGCTCCCTCAATTGTGACTAAAATTTTATTTTTTATATTTATTAATATTTTTAAGTAATAATTCCAAAATTAAAAAACATTTTTTAAATATATGAATTTCCAAATTTTATTTTTAAATATAATTAAAATATTAAACAAAAGTTAAATAATTGAATTAAATTCTTTAACAAAAATTGATTTTATTTTTCGAAGTTATTAGATCTTGAAAATTAACAAATTCATAAAGTTAAAATTTTAAAAATTACTTTTATAATTTTAAAAATAAATTGTGAATATATATTAAAAAATATTATTTTATAATTATAACTTAAAAATATTAAATAATATTTAGAAAAATATTAATTACAATTAAGGGGTCAAATGAGATATTTTTATTAATTTAATATGTCAGGTTACTCTTTTAATGTAATTAAAGATTGACATTCATTTTATAATGAGATTTAAAATTTAATGTCTATTATGTAACTTTTATAAAATGAATGTTTAAAAAGATTATTTTAATATGATTTAATAATTATTTAAAAATTATACTCTAAATTAGTGGTACGTTTCAATGTAAAACATACCTTCTAGAATTTTCCTACATAATGATGAGACCAAAGCGCCACAGCTGATGTCACTGTGCACTCAACAGTGATTGGAAAAATTTAATCAAAATATAAAGCCTGTTTAATAAAATACTGCAGCAATTATTACCCTAATTTGCTATTATTTAATAACAAATAGATTAGGAGATTATTAAAATATAAAGCCTATTTGTTGTTAATAAAATACTGCAACAATTATTACCCTAATTTGCTATTATTTAATAACAAATAGATTAGGAGATTATTAAAATATAAAGCCTATTTGTTGTTAATAAAATACTGCAACAATTATTACCCTAATTTGCTATTATTTAATAACAAATATATTAGGAGATTAATTATGTATTAAAATCCACATGATTTGCTTTGAACATCTCCTATACACGCAAATGAATATCAAATTGAGATCCAAAGCCAATATCCCTAACAAATTAAATGAATATGAGAATCTAACATTGCCTACACCAAATGGAAAATAATTATAATAATATGAATGATTATTTATAATTTCAATCTAATATCTTTATCATGTTAATATAAAAATATTTTTTAAAAATAGTCTAGAATGATTCTAAGATTGTACATATTCATAATTTTTTTAATCATTAACAACACGTACACACCCTTCAGATAAAACATATTTGAACAATTAATAACCTACATGAACATTAATAATCTACATATATATGTCATAAACTACTCTCTCTTTAACCACATGAACATTAATAATCTACATGAATATATCATAAAATTCAACAATTATATTATTAAATATCAATTATAAAAAATATAAAAATATAAAACTTAATTTTATATTAATATAAATATATCATTAAATATATAACTTTCCAAATTCCAATCACCCTGCCAACACTCTGGGAAGGAAAAATTAATACAAACCTAAATGCTAAAGGAAGAAGAAAATGAATAAATAATTAATTAAAAAAAAAGCATAGTTGGTTCTTTAACTCGACAGTACGCCGATATCTTTTCAAGGGGAAAAAAATTATATTTCGATAAGCATGAAAATTCGACAAAACGAACCAATGGCTGTACTTTGTGTAGGACATGGAAAATTATTGCGATAAAATACTTTATTTGGGTGATACAAAGAACTTTGTTCATTTATATGGTTTAGGAACTTAACTTTTCCTTCCAAATCAATCACAAATACCTTAAAACAATCTAATCTAACTATAATAATATTAATAAAGCAATATGATATAAATAATTGTATAGTTATCATGTAAGGCAGATAGCTATTTTCTGCCAATAATGACATGCTTATATGCGCATGGCCAAAATAAATTAAATGCAATGTGTAATGAGAGAGACCACGTTCACAACCAACCAAATAGAACATAAAGGCTCACCCATTGCAAAGCTGAACACTTGCCAACTTTTTCCAACTGTAGAATATAATAATAAGATTATCAGTGTCCCAAATAATGCAATATTCAGTGTTTGTTTTACCCTTCATGGCCCAGATTCCATAGGTCAGGCACACCCCGTGACCTACAAAAATCAGGATCAAAATAGAGAAGGTCAACCACCATTTTCATGGTCGTCGATTGATTGCTCTTCCATTGGCCACTTCTTAAAACTAAATTAGAACCCCACTGCAACATCCCCAACAAAATCAACCTATATTTTTTACAAAACTTGGTTAACAAGGCAGTCTTTCTTTTCTTCTTAATATTAACATAATGCCATACTCTGCATCTTAGGCGACGGTACAATGAACTACAGCAGATGGGATTTCTAGAATGAAGATGTACTAACTTCACAAATTAAAAACATCATCCAGTTCAGTATAGTATTTAAACAAGCATTACAGTTCCTCTAACCCTCCTTACAAAGTGCAAAACATGTGATGATTCCGAGTTTCCGATCGATGCCTGAAAGTGTCTCCTTATGCAACAGTACCATTCTAGCATTGAAAGGAAAAAAGGGGGGGTTTACACAACAGTTATCAGACCCACAAAGTGATACAAAAAACTCTTAAGTGAATTGTATACCATCTACCTTTGATTGCAGGATCTTTTGGCTGTCAATGAAATATTGGTTTGGATGATTGATACCAGCATCGCATGATGAGCCATGAACAGCTTCAAATGTTAAGGTACAAGCTAACTGCACACATTTTCATCATCGCTCACAACTATGATTTTCCAAGAAAATGAACCGTTCTACATTAAAAAAAAAAACTCGAAGGTTAAAAAGGCAATCTTATGACCTGATAATGCCTATTGCGCACTTTGTCCATTACTTCCTCTACTACACGACTGCTTGCTCCCATTCTTACAAGTGCAGCCCTTAAATTCTCCTCACTGTCATGTAAAAATAGTAAGCAATATTATGTGTAAAATAGAGTGAAGATGCCTATATAATAATTGCCTAAGCTACGTTATCAACATCAATCACACATCTGCAATAGGGCTGTTAAATCGATTAAAATTAAACAAATTCATGCCTTAACTATTTGTTAAAGTTGTTGTCTCCGGATCTATTTTTATTAGAAACAACCAAACTAGTATAGCTAAATTCAAGGGCACTATATGTGGTTTTCGAAGATGAGCAACACCAACAATGAAGCATAGCAAACTCTCCTTAATAAAGAAAGCTAGTAACAATATTGACCTGAAATGCCTATAGGGGCAACCATGATGATCTCCAACACCAGGAGCTGACGAGATAATTTTTTGACAGGAATAAGGTGTATAATCCTGCAATAACCATCAAATTATTATGATTTGATGAGATTACAATCCAACCTCAAGTTTCAACAACGAAAAAAAAAGGGGCAAACATCTAACCTGTAAATAAATTTACTTTATTTCTGATGTGATATGAAATAAATTTATTAATCTAAATCTGAGACATGGAAAACTTTTACATAGGGATAAGATGGTATCTTACTGTTCTCTTCCCTTCCCTTCCATAATTATGGCGTATGTTGTAAGCATATTCCTTGTCGAACCTCTCAGCACTAACCTATAAGAACTAATATAGTGTTAATTTTCCAGTATTCAGCTGCATGGGCAGCAAGAAAAAAAGCGTTGAAATCTTCAAAATGATAAAACCAAATAAAGTATCACAATACTCAGATATTTAGTATTAGGAGGGGAGTGGGTGTCAAATGCCCATGGTTAGAGATGAAATTTAAGAGGAATTAGTGGAAGGACATTAATTTAAGTCCTGGATTTTCAATTGAGTTTCCTTTTTATCTTTTTTAAGTCTTGTAGTTGAGAATAGAAATCAAATAGTCAGAAAAGATGAAAACCACAAGGTAAACAACATACTTCTGCAGCACCATACATACAGCAATAAATGCTTGTGGAGCAAGTAACTTACCTTTGGTGCAAACTCGGCTTTCCAAAATGCCAGGGCATCATCAAGCTTCAGCCCAACACCCTGAGCAGAGGAATGAAGAACAAAGAATCATGAGAAAAGAGGAAAGAACTAGGACAGCTTCATGATTTATCAGCATGCAATATTTACAGCTTCTAATTTGACTCTCAAATCAATCAAGTTTACACTTTGCACTGAAATTTAATTGAAGTTGAACCTCTTCACCTATTACCAATTGGTTTCAGGTTTCCACAATAAACTAAAAAAACACAAACAAAATGTATGAACGCAAGAATTAATGCATATCCATCAATGAGACAGGAGTACCCTGCTATTGTCTGACTTACACGGGAAAGATCTTTATAATGCTACAGTTACAGGCAATTATACTGAAGACAAATCATGTTAGTAAAGTACAACCTTCAAGAATAGACCTAGTTGCATCCTTCCACCATGCTTTAGATGATGATCCTCTCTGACCTGAAAAGTAAAGAACATAGAAGAATTATTTTATTATAGAATCGAAGACACAATCAAAACAAATGCTACCCCTTTTCAAAAATCCATTTTCTAACCTTTTCAAATAAGTGACGCATACAGAGAGGAAATGAAGTCTTAGCAATACGATCGATATCCTTAACAGATATCTCCCCAACTTCATTTGGCTAAAATATAAAGGGAATGGAGTTCAGAAAAAATGATCTTATTCGTAAAACAACTATAATCAGGCTAGTTGATGAGCTGATACAATGATATACAAGTACCTGAGAGTAATCAGGACCCAAATAACGTGTGCATAGTGCTTCCACAATCTAAACAACAAATCAGGTAGAAAAAGAAAATATTCAATATCAAACAAAATGATATTTCAATAACAAGGTTCACATTCCAATTCTTACCGGAGCCAGCCGATCCTTCTCCTGCTCTCTAACAGTAGATGTCCATTTTCTGCAAGCAAGATTGCAAATAGAAACTTGGTAAACATCTTGAAATTCGTATGAACAAAGCAGAAAACAGAAATGGAAATGATGTTCAACAGCAGCAACTTGGATGTGATATATAAACTTCCTCTACCTTTTTAAGAATATTAATATGATGTTCATCACAAGAGAAATTAAATTACTTAATAAGATGGATTTCAGCAGCTCCATGCTGGTAAATTAAGGATTTCACGGTGTTTGCCAATTTTCAATTTACCATCTTGCTTGCAGAAAATGAGAGCCTTGATAGATAACCTATAGCATGGTGTCTTTGTGCATTTATGTATGCCTTTGTAGACATACTCAATGCTTGACAAAGACCAATGCAAATGTTCACAAATGAATACAAGGCAACATTCTGGAGACCTTAATGGACAAAGAAGAAACCTGTTTGTTAAAATGAGTGCCTTTGATAGATAACTTCGAAATTGTGTGACAACAAGTGAAACAACCTGAAAATATTAAATGTAAAAAAGGGGATAACAAGTATGAATACAGACTCGGGTTGATGGTATTCAATTTTTTAGGTAAGATTCAAAGATTAATAGAAAGTTACTACCTGATTCATTGCAACATAAGCATGTCCTTTATATATAAACACTCGACGACCAGCAACAAGTTCTGGAACTTCTTCAAAGGGCACCTTCATTGGGTGGAAGCAAACACAAATAAGCCAGTTAAATCTAGAAACTAAATCAGATTTTTATCCTATGATTAACCCTGGCTTATGTAGACTAAATATGGAGCCATCAGTGTTCTCTCTGAACCACACATCACCAACCGAGAATGATAATTATATTTAACACTGTTTAATCCCGACCCCTTTATTTTTCCATCCATGTGCTTACTAATACAGGTAAATGGCCAGAGCTATCTATATACCTATTTTTGGTACTATTGAAATAAGTAAATACATTATATTAATACATAGCTACAGGAGATGACTTCAAGTAGCAAATCAATTCTTCTTCACAAGGGAAAGCTACCACTGCTCTTTGTTTGAAATGTAGAAGAATCAAGAAAGCACAGTAGTACCTTGTAGAATACTGCATCAACTGCAAAATTTAAAAAACAAAGAGAAAAAAATGAAATCCTATCATTAATATAGTCAAAGGATCAAATCAGGTTTAAAGTTTACTGGTAATCATAGTTTTATGACTTGGGCGTACATTGTTGGAGGAATGGAAAATTTTCCTATGAAACCCTAAAAGGAAAACTAATTATTGAGGACATTCTGGAGCAAAAAAAATCAATCGGATGTCTTTGAAACATTCACATTCAAAAACCTAACAGGTTAATATAACAAATAGTGATAAGCTCAATCAAGGATATGAATGCTCATGCTTCACAATGGATTTCACAGGAGAGAGATTCCGAGTACTTAGAATAAAGAAAACATATAAACAATCAGATAACATGTTAAACCCTGTTAGTTTTCAACAAATTTGGTCAAGCCTGATTGTAACTGGATATAGCAGTCATATGAGAGGTTCTCGGCGATAAAATACAAAATTTAAAGGTCATATGCAAGATAAAATGACTTAATGCAAAATGAGAAGGGATATAAGACAGATAAACTTGTGCCTTCCATGCGGAAAATGGGTATAGAAGCCAGTCAGTAATCTCATACCAGCAGCTAAAGTCTGACCCATAGAGCGTGCAACTTGGTTCAATTTATCCTTCACACACTACCAAAAAAAAAACAACAAATGGCTCCAGTTACTAGGAACTCAATATCTAGAGAACACAAAAAAGGCGCCATATGTACTACTTTAATAAGGTTCAAGCAATTGCATCTTGCTGAAAACAAATAGCTCAAGGGACTTAGAAAACAGTGAAGCTAAACTACCTCAAATTCTGCATTGCTGACTGCCTTGTAGGGAAGCTTAAACTCAGACATCAATGCCCTCTATGACATCAGCATAAAAGCAATCAGCATAAGCTTAATAAACTAGAAAACCCAACACCAAAAAATGAACATGTGCTACCTGTGCCTCAGAGCTTTGAAAGCGAAACCGATAGCGAAAGAGGGTAGTCTCCATGGAAAGAAACCATTTTCTTAACTCCTCTCTAAACATTGCAATAAAAAAGAATCATAATGGTAATTATTTTAATCGATTAGAGAAGAAAAAAGGAGAAAATACATCAAAACATATCTCCATCTTACGTTCTACAGTACACAAGTCGTAGAACAAAGTGTGATATAACATCCTTGTTTGTTTCCTCATTTGCTTGTGGATGTCTCATATTTTCTTTCCAAAGATCCGCCACCTGAGCAAATCCAGTATGTGAAATTGGCGAGGAAAACAATTAAGTTGGCACAGAGAAATGTAAACACAGTCAATAGTGATACCAAATTTTCCATTTCTTCTGGTTTCTTTCCACGGCCCAATCCATCTGAGATACCTTTAAGAACTGCATCGAGCAATTAACAGAATGAGATAATACAAAAACATAAACATGAGATTTTGATGGAGCTGAAACATTGAACCTTTAATCAAGAAATTAACTATATTTATTTTTTGAAACCGTCATAAAACTGAAACCTAATACTCTGGATTCCTATTCTTTAATAACGTTTCGTCGGTAACAAACCAGTGAACAAAAGATACTAGAGCAAACCTAAAATGTCGATGCGAGGGTGTTTTTGTTTCCTTGACAAATTAAAGCATTAGAAAAATAATAAGAGACGAGAATAGGGTACCTCGGAGGCGATCCATGGCGAAGAGCTCGAAATCTTCGAGACGGACTTCGAGGGGAGGTGCGGATCGGTAGAGAGGAAGAGTGGAAACAGAGACATTGTTGGAACTGGATTTCCTATGAGATTGAAATACTTCCATTTCTTCGCTCTTTTTCTGTGTACAGTTCCGATTACTCAGACTACAAACGGTGTTTTCTCTTGTTTCCTTTCGATTCCAAAATAGAAAGAGAGAGAGAGAGAGCCTAAGGGCAAAGTAGAAAAGCGCGGCAAAAGTTTGAGAGTAGATGGGAAAATGGCGGGAAACGAACTAGAGTGACGATCTCCTCCCTATTTTCTTTAGTAGGAAGTAACTGGCTCTTCTCTTGTCCTCAATGGTTAGGTGCGCTGCACTACTGACCTTGACAAGGTTCGAGAGTTGGTAACCAAATGAATTCAAGGAAGTACAAAAATGGTATTTCGAATATAGTATATTATTTTATTAAGACTATTTATTATTAAAAGTTTTAAAATAATCTTTAATTATAGGACGTCGTTTTATTGAGTCTTATTATTATTATAAGTTACGAAATATATTCTAAACTCATATTTTTTTATTAAAAATTCGATGGTCGTTTGAATTGGATATTAACATGTCGATGAAGATATAATATGTTTAAAATTCTAGGAACAAATTTTATCATATTCAAGTCAACATGTTAATGTTCAATTTAAATCGTAATTTTTAAAAAAAAATGATAAGTTTAAAATATATGAAAAATTGGATGACCATATTCTAAATTTTAATAGTTGAAAATCTCCACATCAAATCACTTATGTTATTTACCATTTATTTTTATAAAAGAATTAATTAAATCAATATTTTTAATTAAATAAAAAATATTATATTCTCAAGATAAATGTTAAGCCAGAACTCGTACAAAACAGTACGAAACAGAACGTAACTATTATTGATGACAGAATCAATTAATAAATAATTTCTAATCGATACATATTTTAATTCACTTTATTATTATTTGATATTTCATTACAAGAAAATGATCTAAAACCTAAATTGAATCAACGGTGTAAATCTAACAATGCATAATTATTTTATAATTTACAAATAGTTTACGATAATATATAAAATAGAAAAGGTGGTGTCGATTAAATGGATGAAGTGTAAATTTGCATTTGGCTCAATATATTCTCAAAGTTGTCATTGGGTTTCTGGATAGGATGCGAATGCATGCCTTCGTAGGTTGTCTCAACGATCCCTTCGTCTTTAGTTAATCTTTGAACCTGTTTTCTCACGTTGCATCCTTGGTGCGTACACCGATAATAACTTCTGCAAAAGCAATACATATTATTAGTAAGTGTAATGAGAGAACTCGAACTCGAATTCGATTATTATTGAATTTAAATTATTTGGTAAGCCTTACCTTTCACAATTTTAACTTCAACAAGACTCCATTATAATACTACTTCAGCTAAAATTTTATTTAAAATTAGAGGAGTAAATATTCAATCTAGTAGAGTGAAAAAATATTCAATATAGTCCAAAATGAAATATAGAAATAATTGATGCAACTTTAATTAGGAGTAAATATTTAATCTAGTCGAGTGAAAAATATTAAATTTTTTAAATTTATAAATATTATTTTATCACTTAAATTATATTTCAAATTTATTGACTAGAGTATATTTGTTAAAATTTTTATTTAAATTTAAATATAATTATTTTTAATGTTATGGTACTCATCTATTATAATTTAAACAAATATTTCTAACTATTTATGGTATATATATATGTGTATTTTTTATATTTTTTCACATGTATTAGTAAAATTTATAACATTATTTAATAATCAATTGATGACTAAAGTTATATAATATATTTATAATGGTATTTTTAAAGAATGTATTTTGAAGATATAATATTGATGAAAGGTTAAAGGAGTAAAAATTGATGAAAAGAAATAAATTGTAAAAAAAATATTATTCAGATTACCAAATTGAATAAAATGTGAAACTAAGAGACAAAAATATGAAAAGAAAAAACTTGATGCCGAAAAGAAGAAGTGGAGTTACAAATGTAACTAGAGTGATTGAGTAGTATTTGATTCAAAATTAGATAAAAATAGACTTAAAAAAGAGAAATTAACCAAACAAGAGGGCCTAATTCACGAAATATTCAGATTAATCAAGAGTGCTAAATCAATTTGAGTTTTGGTGATTCTGCCATCAATCATAAACAAATCAACTAATACAATATTCATAAAACATAAATTGTTGTTCTCTAGTGAGTAATACTATCACTGTGTAAATTAGCTGATAAATTAAAGATTCTAAACAATAAATTAGGGTTCTTAATTAGGGTTCTTGTTTAATACTATCACGTATTCTAAACAATATATTGTAACTAAAGTAAGAGACTTACCTTGGGAATTTGTTGTTCTTGACAGCTTTCTGACCATATTTTCTCCACCTATAGCCATCGTCAAGGATATCAACTTGGCTTCTGGTTTGAAATGCGTATCTTGATTTCCTCGTCTTTTTATTCTCCCCCTTTTTATTCTTCCCTATTTTCACTTCACTCTCAGTCGTCGTCCCGCCTAATCCCTTGTTTTCATGACCAGGAACTCCGGCCGCCGCCGCCGCCGTTAATCCCAATATTCCATTATCTCTCTCACCGTAACCAAGGGAATTAATGAGGTTTAAGGACAAGGGGGTGGGTGATGGGAATGGACCCTCGAGATTTTCCATCTTGAAAGACATGGAGAGACGAAGAGACTCTGATAGAAAACGATTGATGGATTCAGGGAGACTGATCCGTACTTCAATGCACCATGCATGTACAAAGAAGACGAGCGGATTGAAGAGTGAGAAAGAGAAAATGAAGTTTTTGTAAAGGTCGGAGGAAAGCAAGAGAAGCTTAAAAGATAATGGCGGCCCGATGGCTAGACATGGCAGTCATGTCATTTGTCCCATGCTAGTATCGTAAACGGCACGTAATGTAATATTATAAATATAAAGAAGTTGGTGGAACAAATATGTTACATTATTTTATTTATTTTAACCTAAAGTATAGAAGTATTCTACCATTACAAGACGTTATTTTAATAAATTTATTTATTGTTAAAAATTATAAAATAATTTTTCGATTATAATTGTTATTATATTAAATTTTTAAATATTAAATATTATAAAATGATCACATAACTATTTATATGTTTTAAATTCGTCATTGTTATTAAAATAATTCGTTGCTTTCTGAATTAGACATTAAAATTTTGTATCGTAAAAATCTCGTCACATAATCGTTGATATCTTATCGTACAAGTGATTGAAACATTATGTTATTAAGTCATTGTTCGAAAGCAATAACGGTGCTAATAGACATCATTAAAATATAATTTTATCGTATCTCATTCAATATATTAATATCCAGTTCAAACAATCGTTAAATGTTTAATAAAAAATGACAAGTTTAGAATATATGAATAGTCATGTGATCATTTTAAAACTTTAATAATTAAGGAACTCAATATAGTAACATTTTATAATCAGAAAATTATTTTATAACTTTTAATAATCGAAAAATTTAACAAATCAATAGCCTATATTCAAAGACTATTTATATATTTTATCCTATTTTATTTTATTACTCTTTTACCTGTAGGTCGAAATTCGAATATTGGAGAACTTTTTTTTAATGATTTGGTCGGAAAATAAATTAATTTGGGCACTTATGAAAATATTGCGATCAAACCTATTATTATATTTATATTTAACATGATCCCAGCGTATAATAGCATGTGAGTACTTTACATATAGATCTAGATAAAACTTAGTCAAACTTTGAACAATAACACTTTTATTATTATTTTATCTAATGGTTAAATGAATTCAATATCTTTGAATTATTATTTTTAAAAATAATTGAAATTTTAAATTAAATATTTTGATCATTATTATATAATTAAATTCAAATAGTTTTATTTAAAAAATAAAAAAATCAAAACATTACTATTTAGATTCAATTCAAAACATGAACATTTGTTTATACGAATCGGACCAGAGATAGTTACTATCTTTTAAAAATTTTAAATTAACATATAATTTATTTTTCGATTAACATAAAATTTTACATTCGTTTGCTTATTCGATCTAGACCAAGCTTGACTTCCGTGCGTTAATACTTTTCCCTTTGTGAATGTTGCTTATTGTTTTAGTTTATGATGTTGTAGTGGTCAACATTTTACTGGTCAACATGTGCGTTCTCTTAAGCATGGATTTCTTTTCTTTTCTTTCTTTTTCCTATTTGATGGAAAAGTTCTAGAAAAATATTAATTATTTTTTTCAGCCTTCTAAGATTGAGATATATGCATGCATCCCGTAACCATTAGCATTTAAAAATTACTAGGGTATATATTCATTATTTTTTCAAATAGTTTTGATTGTATTTGTTCGATCTATCATTAGCACGATGTTTATTGACATAACTTTCGATAAATGAAAAATCTTAGTTATTTTCAAAAAAAAATACTAGTGTATATATATAGGCCGAAAACTTTTTATTGAAAACATAAAAATTTTAATTTTAATTAACCAAGTTAAATTATTTGAATTATTTAGTTTTTAATAAATTCAAATAAGAATTTACATTTTATAAAAAATATTAATAATATTTTTCCTTTGTAAGGTTTGAATTAAAGTTAAATTTTTACAATATTAATTATCCCTAAAAAAACAAATTATGTCGATCCCTGTCAAATTTTATTTTATAACCTTAATAATTGGGCAAAATCTCTTGTACTTTGCTAAGGTTTACAAATCTGCTCCCAAGTTCACCAAGTATTCATATTAGTCCTTCCTTTTCTAATTTAAACACAAGATTTTTAATTTGTTCGATTTAAACCCTTATAAATTCAATTACACTTCAATTGAGTCCCTTAAAAGTTGAAATTTGAAAATTAAGCCCTTCAAGTAACAAAATAATTTTTCAAAACCTTGTAAAAAAATCGATACTTGGTAATATCCATATGTATTGGTATTATAATTTTGAACTTGATAACGAGAAGGGATGCTATTATAACTATGCCAATGTGTCCCCGGTTAGGAGGAGGATGTTTATTATATGTATTAATATAAAAGTAAGTTAATGAACTATGTCTCGAAAAACGTTTTAATGTTTTAAAAAAAGTCGCTAAAATTATATGTCTAATGTTTCAAATGGTATATTTTTAGGTGTCCCAATGTTAACAGCCTTTAAATATCTCCGTTAAATGGTACATGTCACATTTTGATAAATTTGAGATTTTTAAAAAATAAAAAAATTGTAAACCCCCCCCCGATGTGCAGCGGCCCCCTCCCCCTCTACCCCTTCCAAAAGTCATCGGTCGACCAGTGGTGACAGTTACCACCATCATCATCACCGGTGTAGACCGCTGATCAAACCCTGTTGGCCTTTCATCGTAGTATGCTATTGTTTGTCACGGAGAAGCTTTCAAAGATTCGTCGGATTTTAAGTCACTTTCGTCGTTCTTCATCGATTCCAGCTGATTCTGACATCCATAAGCCATACCTTTGCCACTATTTTAACCATCGTATTATTTCGATCAAAAGCCAACCGTTTGACAACGATGGCTGGATATGACCGACGACCGTTTGGGTTAAGAAATTGAAATTGGAAATTATGGATTTGGATATTTGGGATTTTAGATTTAGGGATTCTGGGTGAAGGTAAGGACGACGGTTGATCAATGAATGGTGACGATGGGTAGGTGATCGTTCGACGATGACGATGGTGGCCAAAGATGACCGACGATGGTTGGTAATAGGGGTTGAAATGAAAGATTTTAGTTTTTTAGGCTTTTTTTATAATTTCAGTAAAAAGTTGGATTTTTTAAAATAAAAATAAATTTTTATTATTAAAAAATTTAAAAATAAACAATAGACACCTAAAAGTATAATCGAGAAAATATTAGATACATATTTTTAGCGAAAAATTCTTTAAGCACTAAAACATTTTTCGAGACATAATTTAAATACATATTTATTAACCCTTATTACATTGTATAGTATCCATACCTAAGTTATATAATTGAATAAATCAACCAAGTTAGGAATCATTATTTGGATGTAAAATGTGAATTAAATGTTCAATATTTAAAACAATTAAATAAATTAAACTAGGGTTTGTCGATTAGGTAGCTAGACTAATGGAACTATTGATAGTCATTGCTCTTTGACTTGAAAGGCCAAAAGCCGAAGAGATCAGTTCATATCATAATGCAAGCAAATATCCAATAGTCACAATAATAAACTAATATCATATTTGACAAAACATGCATGTACTCGTGCAGACCAATTTGAACAATCATAATTGAATATTTTCTTTTTGAAAATATTATTTTAAACCAAAGAAAAGTCATAAAAAAACATTACTACACGTGGTTTGAATTTCTTGTTTGGTTAGTGACCGCTATAAAATACTGTATTTGATATCATAACTATAAAAGTCTATATGTTTTTAGCGAATTTAATATTTAAATCTATAGTACAATATTATAAAGGCGACTGTATTAATTTAATTGTTTTATTTAAAATAAAATTTTGAACAACTGATCTTATCTAAGGATAGAGATGTCTATATCCATCTCGCGATCCATAAGACTAAACCATCTTTGCCTTATCATCAATTAAATAAATGAAATAATTAATTAAATTTATTGAAAAATACAAAACAATTAAATATGATTTTTTACATTTAATAATATTTTTTTAGATTAAATGACACTTTTTTGAATAGTCTAGTACAAAATAATATATGTTCAAATATTGTAATAGAATAACAATCCGAGATAAAGTAAAATAAAATAAAAATTTATTAATAATGGAAGAGATACAATTTAGAACAAATAACCTGAATAATAAACTGGATACAAGTTGAGCCTGCAATTACGTAGTTTCCTTATGACAGAATTTTGGCTACTCCTTGATGTACGAGATGTTTTGGTCGTCTATCTCTCAGGATATAACAACGATATGATCAACATACAATGACACAACTTGCGAGGTCACGAACAAAAAAATTGCTAGAGGCTATCACCGAAAATAAGGGAAGAGGAAAAGAATTTTTGAGTTGTGTAAAACCTAGTAGGTTTACACGATATTTATAGTGTTTCACATAGGAGAAAAATTAGAAACAATATATTATGAAAAGTAAGTCTATTAATTAGTATCTGAATAAAATAAAAAATAATCAATTAATATCACTTTAATTAGAATATATTTATAAACTGCAAATAATACCTTATTAATATTTAAATTAAAAGAAAATCGTATAATATATTTCTTAATTTAAAATATTCAAAAATATATATAACACATTTAATGAAAATATTTAATTTATAGTGAGTAAAATATCGATGGGCCCTTGATCTAGACTTACACAATACTCACATCAAGCAACCTTCAATTTACACCCACTACACCTACACACGAGACACAATTTGAACAAAATTTAATCATTGATTTGTGCATATAAACCATTTTTTTTTGCTTGATATCCCATCAATGTGGGATATGAGTTTTCTCATTTCACTTACACAACACAATTCACATGTACATTAATTTGTGTATCAATTTCTCATTCATCACTCAATCGTTTTGAGCATATAAGATACCGTTGCAAATATCTCACGGAGTAGAACATGAATCAATAAATTCATTATTCGATTCTCCGTCTTTACACTTGGAAAATATGCCTCAAAGTTATCAATTTATCACATTTTTCCCAACAAATATAACTTTATATGATTTGACATTGAAAGCTCATACCCCTGACATCTACGGTACTCGAACCAAGGACCTCAAGGAATAACAATAATTTATTTATCATCGAGGTCGCTTAGTTCGTACAAATGACA